CCCTCTTAATTCTTACTGCATTTACTGTCTGTACCATTCATTTGATATTTAGCATATACTGACTTGCACAACTAAGTAGTTTTTATTGCTGATGTCCTGTCTGCTTCACTTTAAGGAAAGATCCTAAAAAGATGAGATAACAGGTTACCGTATATTCTTTTTTTTTTTTAAGATTTATTTTTTATTAGAGAGAAAGTACAAGCAGGGGGAGCAGCAGGCAGAGGGAGAGGGAGAAGCAGGCTCCTTGCTCAGCAGGGAGTCTGATGCAGGGCTCAATCCTAGGATCCTGGGATCATGACCTGAGCCAAAGGCAGAAGCCCAACAATCTGAGCTACCCAGGCACCCCAGGTTACCTTTTTTTTTTTAAGATTTTATTTATTTATTTGACAGAGAGAGACAATGAGAGAGGGAACACAAGCAGGGGAAGTGGGAGAGGGAGAAGCAGGCTTCCCGCAGAGCAGGGAGCCCAATGCGGGGCTCAATCCCAGGACCCTGGGATCATGACCTGATCCAAAGGCAGATGCTTAATGACTGAGCCACCCGGGCGCCCCCCCCTCCAGGTTACCTTCTATTCTAAGAGGTTAGCATAGGGTTTTGGACATAGAGTGATGAGAGATACTCCAAGCTAATAACAGATGAAATTTTAGTTCCTAGCTGAATTTGTTGTTTTTGTTTTTTTTAGATTTTATTTATTTATTCATGAGAGACAGATGGAGAGAGAGAGGCAGAGGCAAAGGGAGAAGCAGGGTCCCTGCTAAGCAGGGAGCCCGATGTGGGACTTGATCCCAGGACCCTGGGATCATGACCTGAGCCGAAGGCGGACGCTTAACTGACTGAGCCACCCAGGCGCCCCGTCCTAGCTGAATTTGAAGCTCAATACACACATACTATTATTTTTTAACAGGAGTCCTCAGAGCTCAAGAAAGGCCTGGACTACTTCCATGTTTTGAGGCTCCTGATAATACCAAAATATAAATGCCACTTTCTCATTACAGAACTTTCAGTATACTCTAAAATTTTTGCCTTTAACAAATAAACAATTTAATACCAAGGAAAATAATACATTTGTACTACTCATAATGAACATTTACAAATTCTTCATAGTCTACTAAAGACAGTATAGTTAAACAATAGTATGCAAGCTGTGTAAAGAATGGTCTATTTTTTTTTTAAATCCTATCAGCCAGTTTCTCTGAATACATATAGAACCTCACATGAAAAAAAAGGCAAAAAGCCTACATTTGAAGTCCTTTATGAATAAGGTCCCCAGAAGAGGCCCTTCCTTTGAAGCCCTAGAAGATACAATTTTGTCTCTAATAGTTTTCTTCTTTTCATTTAAACCTTTTTTTCTTAACTAGAGGATTAAATATTGTATTGACTTACTAAGGGAAGGGAAGGGATCCTGGGCTATAATACTGTGAATAAAAATCAGATGTACTTTCTTTACAAAAAAACCCTTTGTTTACAAAAATTACTTTATCAGAAGCAAATTACTGAAAAAGAAACTGTAAGATAAAAAAACTACCTGTAATATTTTCTACAGGATGCAAAAAATAAGGTTTCAAGCCTGGACTGAGAATGGTAGAATTATTTTTTTTTAAGATTTTTTTTATTTATTTATTCGAGACACAGAGATACAGAGAGAGAGAACATGAGCAGGGGGAGAAGTAGAGGGAGGGGGAGAAAAAGGCCCCCCGCTGAGGAGGGAGCCCGATGCGGGGCTCAATCCCAGGACCCTGGGATCATGACCTGAGCCGAAGGCAGACGCTTAACCATCTGAGCCACTCAGGCGCCCTGGTAGAATTATTGTTAAAAGAAGAAAATTAGTATGTGGAATGAAATGCATGGAAAGGATAAATGTCAACCTCAGCAGAATGCTTAACTCAGGGATGGAGTACAGGGGGGGCATGGGATTGGGAAGGGACCCCAGGGGCTTCAAATCTATTGATAATGTTTTATTCCCTAAGCTGGTGGGGGGTATTCTCTGCTTCGCTTTATTTATATTCTATTTGTCCAAATGTCAAGAAGAGCTCTGAAATGTTCAATTTCGGAAATAGTGATCTTAAGACAATGAAGAGAGAATTCACATGGAAATTTCCAGTAATCTGAGAATGAACCTTGATTCCCTGAGAAATGCTATATGCATCTACCATGTGACTACTGGGCTTACTAAGCCCTCAGCAAAAGTGTTATAAATGAAAACAGTACCATAATCATTACCTTTTCAGAGGAGATCTTTGCTAGCAAATCAACTTGATATAAAGCAGTTCCGTGTTCTTTTCTTGAACCAACACTTAGGTACCCACTTCCTGTATCATCACTTGTCAACAGTTCAATCTCATTCCACATGTTTCTGAGATTGTCTTCCTCAGCCAGGAACCACTGCTTTCCCTGTGACAACATGTAAAGTTAGAGAACAAATTATATTGCTGCAAAAATACAGTTCCTTGGAAAATGAAAAGGTTTAATAAACACACACACACACACACACACATAACACACACACATCAATCAATCAAGACTTTTGGGTTATTTCTGTAGTCACTAGATACTTCAGACCAATAAGATAAATGGAACTAGAGCTATGACCATCATCAGAGAACAATATATCCATCTAGGAACACAGACAAATCTGATCTCACCAATGTATCCCACAGCTTCCAGTATTTTGTGTGCCTAGCTTGAAATTATAACAAGTTTTCATTTGAAATAAACCTTTTAGCAGTATAGCAATAAATAGCAGAAGCTCTAAAATCAGACTATCTGGGATATCTTAGGATGGTTAAGGTTCCAAATGAACTTTAAAAAAAGTCCATTAATGTTTCCAGTATTACACAGTAAATGAAAATGATAAGGATAAAGGGGAAAAATTGAGTATACCTGTAAACCTAGGAGAGTCACTTGAACATCTCATCAGCAAAGACTTATGTAACTCATTTTATGTGTGCTGTGAGTGGGAATAGAATACTAAGATGAAAAACAATCCCTTGATCAATCACTGGTGGGAAATAGCAACCAAATAATTACAACTGTTTTGATAAGCGCTAGCAGAAATATGTTTTAAATTTTATGGAACATACAGCACAAAATTTATGTTCCATAAATTTTATGGAACATAAAGCACAGAAAAAGGTGCTTTTTCATTTACAACCAGTTGTCCTTGAGGAAGCAATGTAATCCTTCTGTTCATTAATTCTCTGTAACAGGAACATAGTTGTACCTGCAAAGGTTATGAGTTTTAAATACTCATGCAACAATGCTTAGTTCATGGCAAGCACTCAATATTAAGTGTTAGGTAATTTATTATTTTCATTGGTGGAAGCAGGTAACATTTAGGCTTTGGTCATAGGAGGTTTTTAAATACAGGAAAAAGAGTTCTTACCAAGAGTGTGAGCAAGGGTACAAAATAAAGCATGTTAGAACAGACAATAGTTCCAGTGGCTGGTGTTTGGGTGGGAGTTGGAAGGAGATTAAGACAGGAGGGACACCGGCGCCTGGGTGGCTCAGTTGGTTAAGCGACTGCCTTCGGCTCAGGTCATGATCCTGGAATCCCGGGATCGAGTCCCGCATCGGGCTCCCTGCTCAGCAGGGAGTCTGCTTCTCCCTCTGACCCTCTTCCCTCTCGTGCTCTCTGGCTCTCATTCTCTCTCTCTCTCAAATAAATAAAATAAAAAAATCTTAAAAAAAAAAAAAAAGACAGGAGGGACAGGTTGGGGTGAATACTTTTATGGGTCTCTGTGTCCCACATCTGAAAAAAAATAGAGAAATATTATCAGCCTTCCAGGGCAGTCACAGTCACTCATTCAACAAATGCTTATGGATGCCTACTTTGTGTCAGGGACTGTTCTAGACTGGAATACAGCCCGGAAGACAGCAAAGGCCTGCAATCATTATGAAGTTTATATTCGTCTACGAAGGACAAATAAAACAGTTAACATGTATTGAGTATGCAAGATAGTTTTGAATGCTTTACTCATTTAATCTGCACAACAACCCATTTTACAGCAAAGATAAGAGCCAGGGATTAAATAAATGGCCAAGGTGGCCTAAAGCGAGTAAATGATGTAGTTAGACAAGACACAAATTCACGCCTATTAACTGTTATACTGCCTCCCTACAAAAATAAATAAATACGTGCACAATACAAACAGTGCCAAAGGTTTTGAACTAAACGATGCTGGGGGGGGGGTCACCTAAGAAGAACCTGTTAGGTAAAGGAAAGAGAGGACACCAGAGCTGAGATCCCAAGAGCAAGAAGCCAACTCTGCAAAGGCTCGGAGGCTGGAACGAGTCTGGGGCGGCAGCCGGGCCACAGCAAAAATGGAACAGTGCAGAAGCTAAACGAATCCTAGACTTCAAGATTGGGTTTTTATGCTCGGTAAAGACACTAAGGAGACGAATGACACGATTTGATTAACGATTTGAGATCAGTCGCGCTGCTGGGTGGAGAACCTATTAGCGAATTAAACGAAATGAAAGTGTCAGTTAGGCCCCCATGCACAAACGCTCTCAGCAGGACAACGGACCAGCAAGAACCGACTTCAAACTCTCTCCCGCCAGCGTCTTGATGGGAAAACACACGAATTGAGCTGAGGCCGCTGTTACTTCGACCTGAACCCACCCCCAGGTCTCTACAGCAACGCGTTTCCCCCTCCTCACCTGCAACTGAAGAAACTAAAGAAGAACACTCAAATTTATCGCCCCTCTTCCTGCCACCTACAACTGTCCCTAATCTCTTCAGGGTCTAGCCCACGGGTTTAAATTGGCGGGAGAATACCAAGCCCAACCCCTTTTACGGCGGCCGGAGGAGGCCAAAATTGCTTTACAATCGAAATAGGAAGTCGCCCCACCCTAAATTCCACCCATTCCGATTTCCAGGCTACGCAATCTAGGGTGTATTCTTGGCCCCGCCCTCCTCCCTGGCTTTACACGCCCCCTTCAAAAGAACAACCAATCACCTCCTCGAATCGCGTTGCTATAGAGACTCTTATCACCACCTTTTTTTTTCCCAGCAAGCCGTGCGACGCGCCGGGCCTCCATCCTCTTTGTGCCATCCGGGTCTCTCGCGCGAGCGATTTAGTCTGTGGCGAAGCGTCGGAGCGGCCGGTACTGTTGAGAGCGGCAAGTGGAGGCGCCGCCCTAGCGGCTAGGACTGTGGACTATGGCGGTAGGTGCCGACTCTGAGTTTAAAACCAGGGATATTTTTCTGCTACTCTCCAAAGAGTGGGTGAACGGCTCTCAGAGCTGTTGTCCGCGCGTGTGTGTGGACAAAATGGCGCCGCGGCCTTCTTCTGCGCCCGCCATCATGGCTGCCTGCTTTAGGGAGGGGGAAATGAGGCGGTGTCGGTGGGGGTGGGGAGCCGCAGGGAGTGTCTTTTTTTTTTTTTTCCAGAACTTTCCTCATCTCGTTCCTAGTCCCGTGTTCCGTTCGACCCACAGACCGGCTTCCAGTTCAGCTTACTCATTCTTATTAGTCGTTTATATTGAGTTTCATTAGGGCTTGGGAATTTATGTTCGCGTTGGGGTAGGGCTGGGGAAGAGAAAAAAGGGATGGGGGTCTTTGAAAAGTATTGGGTCAGAAAGGCGTTGTCTGTAAGGGGTAGAATGGGAGAAGAGAATCGTAACGGTTTTTTTTTGTTTTTTTGCTTACGCTCAGTAAAATTCTGGTTGCATAATTTTAATTAGTGTTTTGTCTGTGAAAACCTTAGTTTAATCGTTAGTACGGAGTTGAGGAAGGTGTTGCTTGCTCAAAGGGAGTAAAAAAATCGACTTAATTACGAGGTTTTGGAACTACGAATTCCGATTATCGTTCCGTTTCCGAAGCGGCTTGTGATGTAATCATTTTGAAGTCTTTGAGAAGCATTAAAATAAAGCCTTCTCATTGGCGTTGTTTTTTAAATTTAAGAACCCTTCGTTGACCCATTTAATTTTAAATAAGAACTATAGTTCTTTAAGAAGCCTTCTCTGGGTATAAGATGCCCAATTCTGGTGGATCACATTATTGTGATTACTTCATTTTTCTTAACCGTGTTAAAAGAGAAATTCAAGCATTTTGTATTCTTTTCCACTGACTAGAAAGTTCTATTTACTTACCTTCAAAAATAAGGCTACAAATATACCGAAAAATTTGTAGTTTGCCTTTGCTAAAAATTGGGGTATCTGGAATTAGGATGGTTTCTGCACTCCCCTCCCCCGATACCTAATTGAATTAAGGACTGATTTTGTATAAGGTTTCAAACAGTTGGAAGGCTATTTCTTGTTTGTGCAACTAATCGATGTAATGTTTTCCTTTGTTTAAATGGTGTTTTGGGCCTTTTAATGTACTTTAAAGAATAGCGTTGTTTTACTTGGGCTCAAATATTTTAAAAAATGAAGTCAGTTCAAACATTTGGTCCTTCAATACCTCCTTCAATAAAAAGACACAGTCCCCTGGAGAAGTGGCCTAGTACTAAATCCAGTGTACCTTCTTTGCACTGGAAAAAGATGTGTGTACTATGTCTTGAGCATTATTAGGGTTTTAAACAAAATGTAAATGTTAACAGTGGTGGCCTAAAAAAGCAGGTGCTGGAGTAGAAGACAGTTTTGCAGTTAGCATTTAAGACTCAGTAGTATGTACATCCCTGATAAATCGAAATAAAGCTTAGAAATTTTCAGAGAAATTTTATTCAATTGATTTTTTGGATACTTTTCATTATACCACAATAAAACAGCCTTATGGAAATAAAAGTTTTGTATGGGAGAAGTGCTACCTATCATTCGTAGTCTGTTTAGTGATAGGATGCTTTTTTTTTTCTATAGTATATTTTACAGGTGAAAATGGCTGTTTGGTGTAAGTTATCGTATTGCAGGGTGCCTGCCTTTAAGCAAAGGGCATTTAACTTCCCTAATGCTAGGCTTCTGCGATGTTAAGCATGTAAATAAACCATTGACTGAAAACTTGTACTGCCTGGTCTAGATGCTTTTTCCATGGAAGGTTGTTTTCAGTTCTCATCATGATCTATGGAAAAGTGAATGAGATGTGCCAGTGGTTCGGGAATGCTGGTTTTGGCAGAGATGTCGCGTGCACTGCGAGAAGTGATAGCAGTGCTTAAGTTTTTGTAATTTAATTTTACCAAAGTAAGTACTCTACCAGTACTTCACAACATCACAGACATGTGAAGTAGTTCATAATAATGATAATGATGAGAACGAGAATTAAAAGAAGAATTAAAAGAGAATTAAAAGAAAATGACCAGTGTTGTGAAAATCTTAATTATCCTTAATTGTGTGTGTGATACAGCATCGTTTATTTGATAGACAGCAAAGAGCTAGAGTACCATCCTGGGAGAGGCAGGTAATGTTGCTGGATCTCCTTTGTAAGATCAAAAAGTTGAACTTGTTTCTGTGATGAAAGCTTTCATTACAAAAATTTTATGATTCCAGAAATTACCCATACATAGAAAACTGGAGAAGGAATGTGTGGTCACAAGAGAGTCTCTCCAGTAATTAGTTGTTTCCTTTGTGCTTGGTTGTTTTATTTTGTTTTTTACCATTGTTAGAGGTTTAACATTTATGTCTTTCATCCTAGCTAAGTGTGTAAATCTCTTCTATAATCAATTTATTCTTTGAGTCTAGCATTGAGTTTTGCACATTTGTGACTCAGTAAATAGTTGCTGAAGTAATGTAATCTCTTCACACTTCATTTGTTAAATTACTTCCTATTTAGTTCCCTTGGCATTTGTTTTCTGGAGTGATTTTCTTAAGGAGTTTGTTGTCATATTATTTCTCCTGAAAATCCATATTTATCCAATCCAGATTTTTTGGTAAACAGCATGGTAATAAATATTTTAGGCATTGTGGATCACATATAGTCTCTGTCCCATTCCTTGTTTAATAATCCTTTCAAAAATGTGAAAACCTTTCTTAGGTCGGGAGCCAAGTAGTCTGCCTTCCACATACTACTGAAACTGTTTCCCCTACCTTTTATCAAAATCTGACTTGGAAACATTCAAGTTTTAGCTTCTCAAAGCTTTTTTCTGTGACTCATTTAAATCAGTGTCTTTCTTTGTTTGATACTCGTTTGTAATTTGGACCACACCGTTCAACAGAGCCACAGAAATACTTCTCTTTTTTAATTGAAAACTAGTAACAGGAATTCATTTCTTCAATTGTTGATTGATTGCTGTGCTGAGTACTCAGTTATGAGCAAGTAAATGGGAAAACAGGGAACTGATACTTAGATGAAGGAACCTCCTTTTAAGTAAATCAGGACTTTTGGGAAAAGTGTATATACTTGATTATTTTTTACAAAATTTGCATTGTCAAAATTTATAAAATGCTTTAAAGCAGAAACGACCTAATGTTTCCATAGCCCAGAGCATATGTGAGGAGAGGCAGACCATATTTTGCAGCAGCACTGTGCCAAGGGGCTGTTTTCATTAAAGAGGGTTAATGAAATTAAGATTGGGTTCTCAGATAGGTAAGTTAATTTTGCTTATTCTTTTATAATCTAGAAGCATTCTGTGCTGTTCTTCGATTTTACAGACTTCTCTTTAAATTTTATTAGTTCATTTTAAATGGCCTTTTTAACGTATGCTAATTTAAAATAAAAGTATTGGTAAAGTCAGGTAAATGACTTCGCAAATCTAAAATGGACAGCATTTTCTCTGCTTGAATGTTTATTGGAGATACTTGGAATCCCTACTCTTCCCCTTCCCCCATTGTTTTGAAAGTTATTAAAATAATGATTTTTAAAAGTTAAAGACATCAGCCTAATTACATATGTCTCTTTGTTACTGAGTTAGTCTCATTTCAATTTATTTGGGCTTATTTATCAGGTACAAATAATTAGCTACTTAGAAATTGGCCATTCTCATTTATTGATTTTTTTTTTAATTTTGTAAAATTCCAGGATGATTCTCTTTCCTCCTTCTCTTTTAAGAAATTAGAAACATTTTAAATGTAATTAAGAACTTAATCATTTCTCTTTAAACTTTTAGGCTAGTGATACAGAGCGAGACGGACTAGCCCCAGAAAAGACATCCCCAGATAGAGATAAGAAAAAAGAGCAGTCAGATGTATCTATTTCTCCTAGAGCCTCAAAACATCATTATTCAAGATCACGATCAAGGTCAAGAGAAAGAAAACGAAAGTCAGGTATGAATTGTTGGAAACTGTAATTATCACTATGCGTGTAGATGTGTGTATAAGACATAGATTTAGTTTTTGATATAATTAATACATGTTCTTCCCAGTTGAGAAATGAATAATGAAAGTACATTGGTAATTTTCTGGAGATTTTTTCAGTTATGAGAAAAATGTCCTCCTGCAGAAATTTTAGGACTTGGCCAAAGGCCAAAATATATGTTTAAGTTTGTGTCACTGTAATTATTAACCCTGAGATGTTTAAATTTCAGTCTTTCAACATTGGTAAAATATTTTGAAAGCTGTGTCTGGGCAGTGGTATATTATTCTGAGCTTATTTAACGTGCTTTTCGATGTAAGTTACAAGACCATTTTTAACCTTGTTTTTCATTTAACTTAATGTTAAAATATTTCTGAAGCGAGAGGTTTTGGCGTTTTGAGATTTCTTACTGGTTTACTTGAAAAAGAACTGATGTGGTATAGAAAGTAGGATGTTTTGCTGTATACTTTTTAAATTAGTATTGCGATTTAATGAAGAGGTTAAGTGAGAAGTAGAATACTAATGAGTTAAGAGGGTTTTTTTGTTGTTTTTTTTTTAAGACCTGGGCTCCAGTTATTTATGCTTTATGCCCACAGATAATCATCTATAAAGTAGTTAAAAATTAATTTTATGTATGTATTTGAAACTGTACAGTATAAAATCACTTTTGAATAGAAATTTCTAAACTATAGCACCCTGTTGACTATTTATGCTAAATACACTTCAAACTGTTTATTCCATGTATTCTTGTTTTGTTCTTATTTACCTCTAATAAGCCCCTTTATAAATTTTTTATGCAGTGCAAAACAAAATGGGCTAGACACAATGTTTTGTGAATTAAGAATCTGTGACAAACTGAAAGTATGTATGTTTTTGATTTGTCATGGAGGATATTTTGGGGTTTTTTGTTTGTTTTGCTTACACTCAGTTACATTCTGGTTTTCAGATTGCTTGATTTGTTTCAAATATATACAGTGGTATTAAGTAGAATAATCCCACCCTGCCAAAAAAATAGTCTTTAGAAGATAGTAAGTAGAATTTTAATTTAGTAAAATGGATTGGAAATTGTCTTTTATTTGAGTATTGGGATTTGTGTTTAGGATGTTTCTGTATCTTGTTTATGGTGAATTTTTGTATGTATTTACAGATAATGAAGGAAGAAAACACAGGAGCCGGAGCAGAAGCAAAGAGGTAATTAACACTTTGTAGTGAATAGGCACTTTAAAATTCTTGTAAAGTATCTGGTAGAAATGTTTGTGTGAATATATGATATTATCAAGGTAAGTACCAAAACTTGAAATTTAAAAGGTTAATTGGGTTATAAAATAAGCATGATATGGATTCATCATTTTTCAAGAAGATAGTTGTTTATATGAAAAGTTCATTCAAAAACTATTAATTTTATTATGTTGTGAAAATATTCACAATAAAAATTTCATATGAAGATTATAATTGGTTTTTTTAGGCCTGTCACACAGAGCTTCCATTAATCTGAGGTCCCGAGTCTCCTTATACCTGACAACTGCTCAGGATTTTCATATAGCAATCATCTTTAAGTAGCAATATTGTAGATATCTGGACTTTTTCTTTATGGAAGATAACGAGAGTCCTTTTCTCATTAGCAAACCAGCTCAGTTTCCCTAAGAATAGTATTGAATTTGGAAATAAAAGTGTCTGTGAGGGACAGCTGGAAAGGTGGCGGTGACAGCAAAACTTGAGGAAAAAGAAAGCAGCTGTATGAAAGAAAAGCAGGAGTTAACTTGCTCGCCCACCTGAGAAGACAAGGAATGAGCCAACAAGGAAGAACAGAAGTAGGAGCCAAAAAGGGAGGAGAAGAGTCTTGTGGGGGCTGGGCAAGGGACTCCTAAAAAAATGTGGGCAGGGACTTCACCTCTTCGCCTAATGGAAGCTCTGTTAAATTTTTAATTTAGGAGAGTTTTTGTGAAAATGACTATTTTGTTTAGCTCACATGATAACATTTCTATAATAAATCATACTCAGCGTGCTAATGCGCGAAGAGACTGAACTGAAGACGCTGCAGACTCAGATAGCAAAATAATAAGCCTACTTCATGATAAGGTAACTATTAGTCATTCAAACTCCTATTTCCCTTAAGTATATCTTAAATCAGTTAAGGGTTTTAATGTCTTTTTTTTTTTAATTAATAGTAATGTTATGTTTGGAAAACTGGTTTGAAATAAACTCCTAAAACCTTTGGAAGTTGAACCACTTAAAGCTTTTCCAGTTTGCCACTATATGGCAAAATCAAGGAAATACTTTTATAAGCTCATCTTACAGAGAACTGGCAATGAAACTAAAATTTAGCTGTGTCTCCAGGTCTCTTATTTTTCTGCAAAATATTAAATAACATATTATGATTCTTTTCAGATATATCATGCATGTTCCAAAATGTTTGGCCAAGTTTCTGTTTTTAAGCAAAGTTAATCTTGAGTGGAAAGAAAAATGCAATGGCCTTTTGGGAAACATGAATTAAGTGTCCTGTTGTGGTAGAAAAGCAGAGGCCTGGGCATAAGAACAATATGGGGTCTGGGTTCAGCTGCTACCATGTAGCTTTGTGACTTTAGATCTTCGTTTAGTTGTACTTAAAGTAAGGGAAGTTTAGAAGATCTGAGTTTCCTTCCAGCTTTAAAATTGTGATTCTGAGATGTCCAGGTTTTTAAGCCTTAGCTAAAAGATGGATTTGACAACTTAATGTGAGGAGATCTAATGTTTATCACTTCCTAATTTGGTATGTGAGAGTAGGATGGAGACTTGATCATGCAATTAATTTTAGCTCAGTCTCTGCATATGTTGTGGAAGCAGAAACCTTGTTTTTTATCTTTCAGAGTATGGGGGAAGTATGTATTGTATAATGGTATAGGGATTAATTATGTTGTGCCTAGTTTGATTTCATAAAAATTAAAACAGATACGGTTGCCATTTTCTACCCTAGGTACATGAAATGTAATAGAACGTCTGCCCGTTGGGATATTGCAAGATGAAAAGTGATTGCCTCTCACAGTTTAGACATTGGGAGAAAGATCAAGAGCCGTCTTTTAGAGAGGATGTGGCAGTATAGCTATAAAAAGGACACTTCAGCTCTGCGTAAAGTAATTTAAAATTGCAGAAAATACTAATAGTAAGATTAATCTTATTTAGCAACCTAATTGAAATGCGTTTTCTGGTGCATTTCTTTGTGTCCTGATCATCTTCATTATTGTTAAGTTTTTAAACCTAAAATAATATGTACTCTGGTTATAGAAGTTGATGTGTATATGTATACATGATCTGTTTCTCTAAAAGGTCTGTTGGAAATTTTTGAAAGTTTTGATACATGTGTACTTCCCTTACTCCTTTAGATAAAAGAAACATCAGGGATTCCTCTTTTTTTCTGATAATAATGGTTTTTTCAATATTATTTCAACATTGAAAATCATTGTTTTAATTAATGTGGGGAGGAAACTGCATTTGGGGGATTTATAAAGACAATAAGATTAGTAATATTCATCTGCAACATTGGGTGATGTGAAACTAGATCATTTTTTTTATTTGCCACACACTCCTAAGGTTACTAATGTTGCATCACAACATTTTTGTCTACTGATACCCATACTAACTCTCTTTGTTGCACTATTTTCCTGAAAGAACCAACTTCTTCTTAAAACAGGCAAGAAGACATGAATCCAAAGATAAATCATCCAAGAAACACAAGTCTGAGGAACATAATGACAAAGAACATTCTTCTGATAAAGGAAGAGAGCGACTAAATTCATCTGAAAATGGAGAGGACAGACATAAACGCAAAGAAAGAAAGTCATCAAGAGGCAGAAGTCACTCAAGATCTAGGTCTCGTGAAAGGTAAGTAGTTCTCCTATTTATGAGTTAATGCCCTGTAAAGAGCTATATTATGTAAAGCTTTTCATGAACCCAGCAGTACCCAATCTTAATTAGAAAATATTTTTTGTAAGAAAAAAAAAGATGAAGAAGAAGAAGATAGCAGGAGGGGAAGAATGAAGGGGAGTAAGTCGGAGGGGGAGACGAACCATTAGAGACCATGGACTCTGAAAAACAAACTGAGGGTTCTAGAGGGGAGGGGGGTGGGGGGATGGGTTGGCCTGGTGATGGGTATTAAAGAGGGCACATTCTGCGTGGAGCACTGGGTGTTATGCACAAACAATGAATCATGGAACACTGCATCAAAAACTAATGATGTATGGTGGTTAACATAACAATAAAAAAATTATTTAAAAAATCAAAAAAAAATATTTTTTGCTAGCGTACCTATTCCTTTGCCAACAAACGTCTGGTAGTAGCTGAAGTCTTTGGGGCACTATTTGCTGATAAAGGCAAAAAAGATGTTCAAGACTAGGGGATAAAGGATGATTATGATTAACATTCAATTAGTATTTTTTTTTTTAATTTCATGATTTACCTGTCACTTGGCAGTGAAAAAAAATATATAGCTGACTTAGTTTAAGTCAATATGACAATCCTTTTACATTGTCAGTGTAAGATTTGTTTGCTGCTAAACTCTGATTTAGATTTTCCTTTGTGGTTTTGAAAACTTGTGGGACTTTTGTAAAAAGAAGCCAGTGTTTTAATGTATGTTTGGAATTTTCTGTGGAAATACATATACATGGTGTATCAGATTGGGTCAAAATTTTTTGTTAGTAGGATAACTTGTCATCTTTAAGTTGCATAAATACTTCGACAAGGCAGTAATAGATTTTAAACTATCAAACAGAATCTTAAGTTGGGTTAGGATGCATTGCATTTTTAACATGTAGCTTTACTGTGTTTCCTCTGAGACATCAGTTTTAACTTCTTCCATTGGAAGCCTCAATTAGCCTTTCTATACACAATACAGAATAGTTAATTGCCTGGCTTGACAGCACATACTGCAGATAATTCATAATGTCTGTAACTTGAAAAGACGCAGCTCTAAATAACTACACATTTGTGTGTGTTAATTTCAGGCGTCATCGTAGTAGAAGCAGAGAGCGGAAGAAGTCGCGATCCAGGAGTAGGGAGCGGAAGAAGTCGCGATCCAGAAGCAGAGAGAGGAAGAAGTCACGATCCAGAAGCAGGGAAAGAAAACGTCGGATCCGATCTCGTTCCCGCTCAAGATCAAGACACAGGCATAGGAGTAGAAGCAGAAGTAGAACAAGGAGTAGAAGTCGGTAAGTATTCATCATTTTGAATAAAATCCAATGGCTCCCTCACAGGGTCTGTTTATCTTCCCTTAATCTGAGAATATCAGAATTGTGGGTCAGAATTTTATTTATGAGTTAACAAAATATTTTAGCATTCTTACAGATACTCATTTAATCAGATCTGTGAAGCGCAGGTAGAAATAGTCGCTATTAAAATTACTTCAGTTGTTTTGGATGTTGAATTATGTTGTGTATAATCAGTAGTTTACACTTACTGCATGCCTACCATGTGCTGTGTGTTATGTCACAGCTCTTTCCATGTACTAGCTCATTTAATTCTCAAAACAACTGTTTTGTGAGTTAAGACCATAGGGCTTAGAGAGCTTAAGTAACTTGCCCAAGAAGCCTCAAATCAGTTATTAAATGGGACTGTCAGGACCAAGTCCCAAGTATGCCTGAATGCAAAGTCAATACATGTGCTTAACCCACCATACTGTATATGCTGTTTCAGGTATTCAGAAAGATGAGCTTAATTCAAACCTATCTTGATTGAGAGGAGGCTTTAATTTGTTGAGACAGGAAGTACAATAAAGCAGAAGAGAAAAATTTTCAATAATCAGAATATATTTAGTCTGTACTTATTTACATCAGACAATTATTAATAGTATATATGCACAGATACTGATATTAAATAATGGAAAACTTTTTTTGTTAATTTGTTCAAGTTAGTCTATAAAGACTGAAATACAGATAAAAATAGACTATGTTTATTACAGTTAATTGACTTATCTCTTGTTTATCGGGTTTTTTGGGGTTTTGGGTGCAAATGGGTTGTTTTTTAGATTTTCATTTATTTAAGAGTGTGTGCGCACAGGAGATAGGGGAGAAGGAGAGCAGACTCCTTGCTGAGCAGCAAGGGGCTCTATCCCAGGACCCTGTGATCATGACCTGACCCGAAGGCAGATGCTTAACTAATTGAGCCACCCAGGTTCCCCCAAAATGGTGGTTTTATTAAAGCACAGGGACAGCTAGGGCCCCCGGGTGGCTCAGTCATTAAGCGTCTGCTCTCTGCTCAGGTCATGATCCCAGCGTCCTGGGATCGAGCCCCGCATCTGGCTCCCTGCTCAGTGGGAAACCTGCTTCTCCCTCTCCCACTCCCCCTGTTCGTGTACCTTCTCTCGCTGTGTCACTCTCTGTCAAATAAAATCTTTTTAAAAGGGGGGAGGCACCTGGATGGCTCAGTCGTTAAGCATCTGCCTTCCGCTCAGATCACGATCCCAGGGTCCTGGCATCGAGCCACACATTGGGCTTCCTGCTCAGCAGGGAGCCTGCTTCTCCCTCTCCCTCTGCTGCTCCCCCTGCTTGTGCTCTCTCACTCTCTGTCAGATAAACAAATAAAATCTTGAAAAAAAAACGCACAGGGACAGGACCCGTGGGCAAAAACAGCTGCTATTGATCGGTTTTTAATTAATAGTTTTTTTTAAGGTTTTTTTTTTTATTATTTGACAGAGACACAGCGAGAGAAGGAACATAAGCAGGGGGAGTGGGAGAGGGAGAAGCAGGGTTCCCACTGAGCACAGAGCCCGATGCGGGGCTCGATCCCAGGATCCTGGGATCATGACGTGAGCCAAAGGCAAACACTTAACAACTGAGCCACCCAGGTGCCCCAAGTTTAATTAATAGTTTAGTTTTTAGTAGTTTACTAATTTGAGCTTTACCGGTTAGGATTTTAGTGAATGTAGGTAAATGATAATTTTACCATTATCATTAATATTTTATTCTCCATCTCGGGGTATGGGCCATTATTTCTGGTATTTCTAGTATTTTTATTTTTATGGCATTTCTAGTTTTAACCACTGCTACTCTATTTTTTTCTGCTCAGTGCTTACTGTTTTTTATCTTTCATTTTCCTAATTCTTTTGTTTTACTGATTTTGTGCTTGGGGGTTTTTTTGTTTGTTTTTTTGACCTTTACAAATTCATTGTAGATTAAAATACTAGGAACGTTTAAACTATGGATCTCACTACTAGGGGTTTATCCTACATACTGACCTACATGAATATAAAATGATTGATGTTCAAGGCTAGTCTTTGCAACATTGGGTGTAATAGCAAAAGATTGGAAAACATTTTAAATAGTCTATCTGTAACAGGGAACGTTAAATGAACTTACAGAAAAATAGCATATTCAAGGAACCTTCCATACCTGTGGAAGCTGTAGGACAGAGGTGGAAAGGAAAGGGTCTAAAATATGTTGTCTGCTGTTTGCACTTTTGTTAAACCTCTGTAAATATAATTGATATTGATAAAATGAACCTAATTATTACTGCTTTGCAATATTGCAACATGTGAAATATGATTTATTACAGAGATAGAAAGAAGAGAATTGAAAAACCTAGAAGATTTAGCAGAAGTTTAAGCCGAACTCCCAGTCCACCTCCCTTCAGAGGCAGAAACACAGCAATGGATGCACAAGAAGCTTTAGCTAGGAGGTGGGTATATTTTCTATTTGATGCATTTTTCCTTTTAGATTTGAAGTAGATACTCAATTCTGTGGACAAAGTGAATACTTTCAGAGTTTAAGTCAACTAGTTAAATATAGCCATGATACATACTGTGCCAATTTTGATCTAGTACTAAGTAGTTTGTTAATTCTCATTTTAAACATTTACCCATTTGTGCAACTGGAAAGATTAGGATGTCTGCAACAGTTTCTGTTTTCCTTCATGAGTAACTGATTAATTTTTCTCAAATTTAGGCCCCTAAATATGTTTGGTTTGCAATAGAAACTTTTTTTAGAAATCTTAAATCTGATTCAGGAACTCTTAAATTTGGCCTCTGAAATTGCATTGTCGTTTTGTTTTTCTTCTTCAAGAAGACAAAGTCTGAAACAATTCTGTCAACAGGTTTCTTATTTTGAAGGTGGCAAATAATAAACATGACAAGGTGATTTATTTGATCTTGTAAGTTTTACTGCTGATAACGGAGATTGTTTTATGTTTTAATTCTGTAAGCTTTTCAAAGATGTTCTCTGGTAACTGTGGGACTACATACAGGGCTGTCTGGCTGAAATGTGCAAAACTGTTGAAAGAACTGCCTCATATAGAGAGGCAAGAAGTAAAGTAAAATCCAAGTGCTTGTTTTCAGCTTTTCCCATATTCTGAAAACTATACTCTTGATTTTGGGGTTTTTTCCTTATGAAATTGAGTTTGTATTTTTTTTTCATTACAAAAATACAGTTATCACAATGTAACCTGATGGGTTGCTGCCCTGTGAACCCAGCCTGGCAGAAACTCCAGCTGAACAGCAGCAGCAGCAAAGGTGTGAGCTCGCCCCTTCTTCATTCCATTCACCTTAGTGAATGGTGTTAATTCCAACCTGCAATGGCCATTTTAAATACGCATCAATAGTAGTGAATCGTACTTTCTTTGTGAAACTAAAATCATCAGAATTAAATAATTTATTATATGTGAAGTAATTAAGAATGGTCTATTAAGTCTGACCAGTATTTTTTTTTAAGCCCTAAAGTCTATCCTTTTATAAGTTCATTGCGCTTTAATTTTTGGCTTTTATTAAGGTTGAAGCTATTACTAGCATCTAAAACTTTTAACTTAAAAAAATAATCTACTTAGTGGTTTTCAGATGACAAGTTTACATGAAATAATTCTTTTAAGAAATACCAGATTGCTCCTTGGCTACTTTGAAATTTGAAGGCAGATCTTTTGTTAATAAGATACTACGGTATATAGATCTTTTTGTTGTTGTTCCTTTCTTGTTTTTAAATAAGGACAATTTTTTTCTTTTTTTTTTTTTTAAGATTTTATTTGTTTATTAGAGCAGGAACACAAGCAGGGGGAGTGGGAGAGGGAGAAGCAGGCTTCCTGCTGAGCAGGGAGCCCGATGCGGGGCTC